ATAAGAAATGTATAAGAAAATAAAATTTCCAGTTGCTGAAGAAGTCCCAATAAAGGGACGAAACGTCCAACTTAATTAAATTAAGTTCTACTTCTTTTCATGTCCAAGTTCCCTATGAACCTATATCATCAAAAAATTATAATTTTGGACGAGAGAAAATACTGAATTAATTGTTAATTATGTAAATTTTTGAAAACATAATTCAATTATATTTATTGTCAAGTAAAGATTCTTATTTTTTATTTCTACTTTTTATTTCCTTATCAGTCTAATTTTTCCGAATTTTGAACTTATTTTGTTAGAACACTTGTCAAGTAAGGGGGGCTCATATACTTTGTCATAAAAGTCACATATAGAATCGTATCTAATCTATTTTATGTATCGATAAGACGATATATTAAATACAATCGTAAAAATCTGTGCCATCAGTGTCCCGTAAATTCTAATTCGTGAACATGCAACACTCGACGTTAGTTGTTATCATTTTATCGTGCCTTCTTTCCGAAAGTTTCGGTAAGATTAGTATAATTCAAAAATATATATATTATTATATTACAATATAAAATATTAGGTGTACAAATAATTTTCCGCCGTTTTGAGAGAGATGGCATATCACGAGGCTTACGTTACAATTCGCAGATGACAACCGGCTTGAGAATAATGTTGCTTATTCAAGAACAACATAACCCTATCATATTATTAACTTCGTATTAGCATCATATATTTTTTTTTATCCAAAAATGTCTAAATTTGAGCCAAATAAGAGTCATTTGCGGGAACTTTTAATTTACTTCTTTAATTTAAACAAAATCTGCAGCTGAGGTGCATCAATTGCTCGTAGAAGCATATGATGAGGCTGCCTTGAGTGAGAGAACATGTCGTGAGTGGTTTCAAGAGTTTAAAAACGGTGATTTTGACGTAAAAGGCAAAGATTGCAGTGAAAGGCCAATAATTTACGGAGATGCAGAATTGGAGGAATTATTGGAGGAAAATTCGTCTCAAACACAAAAGAAACTTGCACTTACTTTAGAAGTCACTCAGCAAGCAGTTTCACATCGTTTAAAATCGTTAGGAATGATTCATAAACAAAGTAATTGGGTTCCATACGAATTAAAGCCAAAAGATGTTGAACGCCGATTATGCATGAGTGAAATGCTGCTAGCTAGGCACAAAAAAAAAGGTTTTTTAGATCGAATCGTCACTGGTGATGAAAAATGGATACATTATGATAATCCAAAAAGAAGAAAATCATGGGGACTACCTGGCCACGCGTCAACATCCACAACAAAACCAAATATTCATGGAAAAAAAAATCATGCAATGTATTTGGTGGGATCAGCTAGGTGTGATGTATTACGAGTTGCTTAATCGAAGCGAAACTATCACTGGAACTCTCTACCGAACAGAATTGATGAGATTGAGCCGAGCTCTGAAGGAAAAACACCCTCAATATTACTCCAGACACGACAAAATTATTCTTCTACATGATAATACTCGTCCGCATGTAAAGTTGAAAAACTATTTGAAAACACTTAATTGGGAAGTACTACCCTACCCGCTGTATTCACCAGACATTGCGCCGTCCGAATATCATCTGTTTCGGTCAATGGCACATGTTCCGTCTGAGCAGCTGTTCACATCATATGAAGATACCAAAAAAATAGGTTGATTCGTGGATAGCCTCAAAAGATAAGGAGTTCTTCAGACATGGAATCCGAACGCTGCCTGAAAGATGGGAAAAAGTAGTTGCTAGTGATGGACGATACTTCGATTAAATTAAAACTACCGTTCTTTCGCAATATATATTATTTTTTTGACAAAAAACGGCAGAAACCTATTAGTACACCTAATATATAAATAAAAACAAAACGAGAAAAACACAAAAGAATATAAAATATAACGAGTTGAATAATTTTGATATTAGGAAAAGTAGGTTTCGGTCCAGGTGAACAAGATTGGGGATATGTGACCGTTAGAAAATATTCCCATATGTTCTGGTGGCTTTATTACACCACAGCAGACGTTCAATCGTATTATGAAAAACCCTTAGTGATTTGGTTGCAAGGTGGTCCTGGTGCATCCTCTACTTCTTATGGAAACTTCGAGGAACTTGGTCCTATCGATACAAATTTAAAACCAAGGAATTACACGTGGGTAGGAATTTGTTTGTTTTTCTTTTTTCTCATTTCGAACATTTCTAAATCAAAATAAGTATTACAGAAATGTATTTAAAAATTCGAAATATTTATTTTCTAACAGGTTAAGGATTACAATGTTTTGTTCATTGATAATCCAGTTGGTGCAGGGTTTAGCTATGTTGAAAAATCATCAGCATATGCTCAAACAAACGAACAAATTGCTATTGATCTCGTCGAATGCATGAAAGGTTTTCTAAAAAAATTACCAAAATTTTCTAATGTATCTACTTATATCCTAACCGAATCGTATGGTGGAAAGATGGGAGCTGAATTTGCTCTACTTTGGTATAAGGTCTGATCTTTTTTTTATTTTCTTACTTTTTTGTCATATAAAAAATACGTTATAAAAAATTAATACTTATTATTAGATATTTTATAATATATTTATAATTCATGGAACCCTAAAATCCGTAAAAGAGAAAGTATTAAAGATAATGTTTCAAATAAAAATTATATTTGCAACACACACTCACACACACACATTGTAAATATAAATAAATATAATATATAATAATAAAATACTATAATTATATATTATATATATAATAATTTTTATTACAATAATTATTATATATAAATCAATAGTTTAAGCCACACTGTAGATTACTAATTTCCGGTACAATTACTAAAATCAAGTTACATAGGCACAGTTAGTAAAATGGATGAGTAACCCGTCCGGAAAAAACAAAAGATGGAAACTGTGTGATTGTTGAGTTCAGAGAGACGGATAAAACGCGTCCCATCTGGTAGTAATGAATTAGTGTGAAAAGGTGTTAATAAAAAAGTGCTTGAAACCCGTAAAGAGACAAATATTATTATATAACTATTATATATATAATGTATATATATATAAATAAAATATATATATTAAT